ATTTTGTAGATTTAATTAGTCTCCATTTCAAAATCATGTTCAGTAAATAGAGTAGCATTTTTCTCTATGCTTAAAATAATAAAATTATACTGAAAGTAATTTGAAGGAAACTAAGATGATTATTATTGATTATTTGAATCTTGCTTTATGGAAACAACTATGGTAATATGTATCAATTCTTGGTATCCTGGAACCTAGTTTAAAATTACCTTAAAGCCAGTGGTGAGAGTGGCAATACCGGGAGGGTGGAGGGAAGGTGGGGTTGGGAGGGAAACCAATTATAAGGATTGACATATAACCTCCTCCCTGGGGGATGGACAATGGAGGAGTGGGTTAGGGGAGACGTCGGACAGTGTAAGATACGACAAAATAATAATTTATAAATCATCAAGGGTTTGTGAGGGAGGGGGGATCAGGGAGGGAGGGGGAAAAATGAGGAGCTGATGCCAGGGGGTACGTGGAGAGCAAATGTTTTGAGAATGATGATGGTTACGTGTGTACAAATGTGCTTTATACAATTGATGTATGTATGGATTGTGATAAGAGTTCTATAAGCACCCAATAAAATGATTAAACAATTAAAAAATAAAATTACCTTAAAATGTATTCTTTTGAGTAATTTGCCCATTCTGCCTGGTTTTCGCTTTAGCATCAGATATTATTAGTGGTGTACAAAGAACACAGATAGTAATGGGATTATTAAGAACTAATAATAACATCTGGCTAATCCAACTCAGCATGAATTAGTTGGGTGTGAATTAATGAAACATATCAAATAAATTATGGGAAATCATAATGTTGTTGGGTCCATCAAATTTATTCTGATTCATAATGATCCCATCTCACTGGGTAACTCTGCCACATGGGATTATTCGTTATAATCTTTATAGAAGCTAGTTGTTAAGCTTTCTTTCTTAGACCCACTGGTGGGTTTGAACCATCAACCTTTAAGTTGCATCCAAGCATTTATCCTATGTACCACCAGGGGTCCTTCATCAGAAAATAGGAAGGGAACTCTTATTACAGGAAGGGAGGGCTTCTTTTTATCTTCGGATGTTTGAGGGGTCTCCAGGGCTAGCGTCCCTACTTTCTGCTGGACTGCTGAACAGAGAATAAACATCTTCGTGCTCACCTGGGGAGAAATGAGTGAGGGCAAAGAAGCAGTAGCACATCTAGTCTGATCATAGGAAGTTTGGCTCACAGTGATTTAATGCTCTTTGGCTTGTGTACATCATTTCTTTTGATTCCAAAAAAGTCAATCTGTATGCAAGGCAAATTTCTCATTTTACTCCATTAAAGCATTCTTTTTTTTCTTTCAGTCCATAAGCAGGTTTATTCTGAGGAGTGGTTCTCCACTTCTGGCTGTGCTGACAACAGGGGGGTGGGGGCGTACCACTTCTGGAATGCGTGACAGTAGAAAACTCAGTCCTGGGGGGTGAGGAAGACTCATTCCTCTTCATCCTCCTCAGCCATGCTCAGGGCTGGGGCCCCGGGGGACCGAGCTGGCGCTGCCCGCTGAATGGAGACAATGCCGCTGAGCAGGGCATAGCCCACCATGGCTGCCAGGCCTGCGAGCACGGACAGGACCTGGCTCCGGCGCCGGTGTCTGGGCCCGTGGGTGTTGGACGTGGGGTGGCGCCTCAGCTCCTCCCCAGGGGAAGTAGAGGCTGAGGGTGTGGCTGCAGTAAGCACCGAGGTTGTGCAGCCCCCGGAGGTGGGCCTGCAGCTTCCCGCTGGGCGGCTTGGTCTGTAGCAGCAGAGCCAAGCCGCTAAAGACAAAGGCGTCCAGGGAGGCGGGGGCATCTCCGAGGAAGAATTTCTGAGATGCCAGGCGCTGCGAGAGAAGGGCCAGGCACTCCCGAGCTTCTTGGTACAGCTCCTTCTCCAGCTCTTCCTCGTTCTCTGGCCGGGGTTCCCCACACTGTAGCTGCAGATGTTCCATGCGCTGCCGTTGCATGCGGCCAGGCAGGAAGAAGTTGCATGCCGTTGCATGCGGCCAGGCAGGAAGAAGTACGCATAGCCTCTGCGTACCACTTCCGGGTCACTTCCACATAGTTCTTGGCGTCTACCCAAAACGTATGTATCAGCACCGGAAACAGCTTCTCTTCCACGAGGGACATGAAGGCCAGGGTGTCTGCCCTCTGCCGGGCTGACAGGTCGTATTCGGCATTGTACTTCGCTTCCTGAAGGTGGGTGATGATTTTGTGTGGTGTTGTGATGATCTCTCTGTGACTGGTGCGAAGGGCGGGCAGGGTGCCTGAAGGGCTCCGCCTGGGGTTGGTAATCTTGTGCAACTTGAGTGGAGCGCCAGTGAATCTGGCATAGGTCAGCACGGTCAGGCTGTCCAGGTCCACGGACGGCAGCCCCCAGGCCCCAGCCCTGCAGAAGAGGCAAAGCATTCTTTTTTTAACAGCCATGTATTGCATATCTACTAAGTTCCAGGTATTATGCCAGACTCTGGGGTTATAAAATGTAATTAGATTCACTTAGTCTTTGTTTTCAAAGATCTCAGTCTCTTGGGAGAAGGATTATATGTATATATATATATATATATACACACACACACAATCCTTCTCTCTGTGAATGTCTCAGTTAAGATGGTCTTTGTTGCAAGGCACAAAACCCTGTTTCAAGCTACTTTCCCCAAGAAGGGACTTTATTATAAAGCTTTGAGGAGCCCTCACAAATTCAAGGAAGATCACACCTGAGCCTTGGGAACAATGTGGAAGTTGGTGCTGAAATGCCATCGTGAATCTCTCTGTGAGTGTCTACTCCCTCTGTGCATGTGTTCGCCTACTGCTCGTATTCACGTCGCATCGAAGGGCCTACTAACTGATCCAGCAGCAGCGAAGTCAATCTCTCTCCATCTAATTCTAAATCCCTGGAGAAGGGTGATAATTATGCAAGCTTGATTCAAGTGTACACCCTTCATCCCTTCACCTGTGGGAAGGGTCGGGTTGTAGATATAGGATGGCTTCTAGACAGATATGGCCAGATTGTTTAATAGGTTCCCACTATGTTTAGAAATTATGGAAATGCTACGAGAAAACGAGGGAGCCCGTGACTTTCTCTTCTGTGTATAAGGAACCATGGACGATGAAAAGGTAAATATGATGCACAACGAATTCTAGTATAGGACAGAGTACGGTGTGCTTCACCATCATAGAGATGCTGTACAGTGCACAATAAGGTATATAAGCACATTACAGAAGGAGATTAAATGGGAAGAAAGAAAAAGAGAGCCCTCTTTTAATCAGAGGACTAGAGTAGCTAGGTAAGTCACTCCAGACAAAGGGTGGTGGTGGTGGTGGTGGTAGTGGTAGGTGCTATCCAATCTGTTCCAAATCAGAGCAACCCTGTGTACAACAAAATGAAACCCTGCCCAGTCCTGCACTACCCACAAAATTGTTCTTATGTTTGAGCCCATTGTTGCAGCCACTGTGTCCATCCATCTAGGTGAGGGCCTTCCTCTTCACTGGCTCTCTACTTTACCCAGCATGATGTCCTTCCCCAGGGACTGGTCTCTCCTGATAGCGTGTCTAAAGTATGTGAGATGAAGTCTTGCCGTCCTTGTCTTTTAAAGGAGCATTTTGGCTGTATTTATTTCAAAGACGGATTAGTTTGTTCTTTTGGCAGCCCGTGGTATTGTAATATTCTTTGCCAACACCATAATTCAAGTGCATCTGTTCTTCTTCAATCTTCCTTATTCATTGTCGAACTTTCACATACATATGAGGCAATTGAAAATGACATGCTTCGGTCAGGCGCACCTTAGTCCTCAAAGTAACATCCTTGCTTTTCTACACTTAAAAAAGGTCTTGTGCAGCAGATCTACCAAATCAAATGCATCATTTAATTACTTAACTTCTGCTTCCATGAGTATTGATTGTGGATCCAAGCAAGGCAAACTCCTCGACAAATTCAAGCTTTTATCCATTTATCATGATGTTACCTGTAAGTCCACTTGTAAGAATTTAGATTTTCTCTACCTTGAGTTGTAACCCATACTGAAGGCTGCAGTACTTGATCTTCATCAACAAGTGCTTCAAGTCCTCCTTACTTTCAGCAGACAAGGTTGTGTTTCTGCATATTGCCTGTTGTTAATGAGCCCTCCTCCAATCCTGATGTTGTACTTTTCTTCCTGTAATCCAGCTTCTCTAATTATTTTCTTAGCATACACCTTGAATAAGCATGGTAAGAAGATAGAACCCTGGCCCACACCTTTCCTGATTTTAAACCATGCAGTATTCTCTTGTTCTGTTCTCACAAGTGCCTTTTGATCCGTGTACGAGTTCCACAGGGCACAATGAAGAGCCCTGAAACTCCCATTCTTCTCAAGACTCTCCGTATTTGTTATGATCACACAGCCCAATGCTTCTGCATCAAAGGAAACAGGCTGAATATAGAGTTGGAACTGACAACACCCAGTCAGAAGAGAATGTGGAGCAAGAGGTCGCGTGAGTGGGTCTGGAGACTGGATGGACGGAGGTGGACTTGCTGCAGTGGGAGCAAGTCTCTGGCAGTCTTTGGACAGGGCAACTCAATCTCATCTGCATGTTGGAAATATAGTGTGGAGAATGGATTGGTTTCAGGCAGGCTACTTCGTAGTGTATTTCAATAATTCCGCCATGAGAGATGATGAGGGCTTGTATCAGGACAGAAGCAGAGGAGATAAGGAAAAGAGAGAATTTAGGAGAACGAGTGAGAGTAGCTTTGCAGTTAGTCCTCATCTCTCCCATTCTAGGGGGAAATTCTGAGTACTGACTGGGAGAGCTCTTTACCAGGAAGGGGCTGCTCATTTGCGCTCCTGCAAGGAGGGAGTGCTCTGTCTCTTGGTTTGCTTGCTCCTCGCTGTCTGCTCTGCAGCTGTGTTATGTGAGTGTTGTTGACTCCTTAGCAGGTCTGAATCCTGACAGAAGTTGTAAGCCTTCTCTTCGCAGGATATATTTTTCTCATTAATGAAAGTAAAGTGCTGCCACTTTATAGCCCTGTGAAGAGAGAATGCTGATATTAAGCCAGAAAAAAAA